TGTAGTGATGGTGTACCTGTGCTGTAGTGATGGTGTACCTGTGCTGTAGTGATGTTGTACCTGTGCTGTAGTGATGTTGTGCCTGTGCTGTAGTGATGTTGTGCCTGTGCTGTAGTGATGGTGTGCCTGTGCTGTAGTGATGGTGTGCCTGTGCTGTAGTGATGGTGTAGCCTGTGCTGTAGTGATGGTGTAGCCTGTGCTGTAGTGATGGTGTAGCCTGTGCTGTAGTGATGTTGTACCTGTGCTGTAGTGATGTTGTACCTGTGCTGTAGTGATGTTGTACCTGTGCTGTAGTGATGGTGTACCTGTGCTGTAGTGATGGTGTACCTGTGCTGTAGTGATGGTGTACCTGTGCTGTGCTGTGAGGTGCCAGGTGAGACTAGGTTTTGGTCTTTGCCTTCTTCTGACTGGCAGGGTGGGAGGTTGGAGGGTGGCAGGGTGAGTGGGAGGTTGGAAGGAGGTTGGAGGGTGGCAGGCCCCGCCTCCTCATTGATCGGAATTGGGTCGGTGGGGGTGTAAAAACACTTACATTTTCCACAAAAATCTGGTTCCAATATTTGGACTATTGAAAGTTAAGGGAATAACCCTTAAGCTTAACGTTAAAGATACACATAGGCTACAAGTATTTAGTTCTCACATTGAGCCCTGCCCAATTAGCTGTGTGTGACATGTGACTATTCGTGCGTATGTATTCCTGTATACTGTGTGTGTGTGTGTGTGTGTGTGAGAGAGAGAGAGAGAGAGAATGTGTGTGTGTGAGACATATACATGTATATATATATATATGTGTGTGCGTGTGTGTCACCCAACTGACAATTAATCGGCTCGGTGACTTGATCATATTGAGGCTTTAGAACAGCAAATAATAGGTCTATATCCTTGTAAGTTGTATTGTAAGTTGTACTGTTGTTACTGGGGGCATGACGTCCCAAAGAGTTGTACTGTTGTACCAGAGACGCCCCAAAGAGTTGTACTGTTGTACCAGAGACGCCCCAAAGAGTTGTACTGTTGTACCAGAGACGGCCAGGCTTGTTGACTGAACCCAGCCAGAGCCAAATGGGCGGGGCACTCACGTCAATGACAACGTAGGCAGGACTTCGTCATTGTGGGTGGTCCAAGTACTGCCTAGTGGACAGACCCCCCGGGGCGGTGCTACTGACTGAAAGTGTCTTTAGGCCGTTTCCAAAGGGGGGGTATTTCTCGTTTTAGTGCACTGTAGAATTGTAAATGAGCTGATCTAACAATGTCATGCTCATAACTGTGCCTGCATATCAACAGGGAACTGCTGCTTTTTCTTTCCTAATCCTTACTATCGTAATTTTTTCCTCTAGATCTACTTCTTTTGTATATTTGTCACACTCTTGTGAACTGCTATTTCCGGGGTGCCTTGATAGTCGAAGCAGACTTTGTGCTGTTGAGGCTAGAGAGGTGAGCAGAGTAAGCCTGATTCCCTGTAAGTGTAAGGACTTCTCTGTTGACACCCACCCCTTGGCGCTCATATGACCTTATGCAGTTGCGAGCGCCGTAAAACCTCTTCTAAAATTACATGTGTAAAACCTAAACTCGTGGACAGAGCAACACCCACAACCTTCAGCGTGCTCTTTTTAGTTTTAGTAAGAGTTTTATGGCACTTGAAGACACTATAAGGTCATATAACTTATAAGTGACGAAGAATAGAGGTGTTAATTACAAGAGAGAAACAAACACAAACAAGGAGGAGGATAGAGAAGAACGATAGTTTTTATAGGAAAGAAGGAGCAAACCACACCAGAGCACCCGCCAACCACCCACAGCGTGCGCTCTTCTTATTGAAATGGCAAAACTTATACTAAGATGTATACCCACAATTGTACAGACACAAACTATAAGAGAGAGAGAGAGAGAGAGAGAGAGAGAGAGAGAGAGAGAGAAAACAAGATAAATTTTTCTTGTTTCGTAAGAAATGGGTGGGTGCCTTCCAGGTTTTGATACAGCCAATCCCACAATTCTTTTGTTATTATTCATTCAAGATGGCGTTGAAGGAGGCAGTTCACGAAAGTGAGTAATAAATATTGTTTCTTTTTTGCGCGTTTAATGTAGATTGGTGAGGAAATTTATAACAAACTGGTTGTTAACTTAAGAGAACAGATGTTATTGTGTTTATTTTGCCCGTGAGTGCTATTGGGGTGAACATTTTGCTGGCCACAACTTGTATTGAAATGAATGTCGACGAAGTCGGTTACCGTTTTCTTGTCTGCTGATAAGCTGCTGTCTCACTGTCACTGTAATCTTCAGTCTATTTATGTATGACTCAGACTATGTTGATAAATCCGATATCAGGGAGGAGTTCTGCAGAGGGCCGCCACTGAGCAAACTATTCAAGAGTTGGTACACTCAGAGAATCCAATTGATGACGCCTGCAGACGGCACTCCTGTACCTGTACAATTTGAATTGCGGTCCCGTTTAGGGATAGATATCTACTCGTTTTGACCCCACCAACGAATACTTCTGGTTCTAAACGATTAGGTTTTGATGCGCGTGCCGATAGGCCTATGGCATGGAGGGAGAGCCAATCAAACCTAGAGATATTTAGATATCTAGATCTATCTAGATCTAATTGCAAAACATCATCCTTAAGTGGTCAGACGGGAGGTTTGGTTGGTGGCCTGACCCCAGTCCCAGTTTATTATATAGCAATGCCAATCGCCCGCTGCGCCTTGTGCCGGAAATCAGCCTCCGCGCGAGGGGTATTTTTTGGGCCGCTCGGAATCAGAAGTGACTCTTCTAAGTTTAGTTACGGGAAAACTCCTGGACGAAAATAAATGAAACTCGGCAACCAATCAGAGGAAAGGTTAAACTAACGACATGCCAGCGTAAATCCTGAACGATTACTAGAACCGGAGATATTGCCGTGTTTGTGCGAATTTCCTCTGCGGTTCAAAAACTAAGCGGAGCTGCGGGTTGATCGCTGACCACACAAGCGCCCCACATGTCTTCTTTATTG